CATGTCCTCGAAAGATTTCAATCACGCACTTAGGAGCTTCCTTATGGCTTCCACACTATTTGCGATCGTCTTTTTTTTTTTTAGGTCGCTGTCGTCGGGGCTGGACGGGATTGACTTCCGCGGTTTTCAATCGAATTAATATTCATGAGTGAATGCTGCATCCCCTTAATCCGATATAGACTCGACTGCACGAGAGGACACAGTGAATCCATGGGGAGAGAGTGGATTTAAAAAAAATTGTCAATTCCTCATGATAATAAAACGATCTGTCCGGCCGGTTCCCAATCGATGAAAAGATCCCTGACTCACAGCAAACATGAGTCATCGTTCCGAGAAATGGAGATTTCGCGAGGGAATCATATTATCGTTGCGATTTTTTGCCCGGACTGATACGTCACATGATTTCAAAAGAGCATTCCCATTTTCCGCTGAAAGGCACATGAAGGGAAGAAATGGAACCGGATCTACGTGCATGCAAGAAATGTCATCAAAGGAGTTTATTACGAAGTCTCTAAGACAAAACGCGCTAGATTGAAACTTCAACCGTCTGGAAGTAAAATGCTTTTCCTATCTTCAATTCCTGTCCCCCACTTCTTCCCCCCCCCTTAGTCAGGAAAGGCACAGACCGGGACAGACGGTTGGATGCAAAGGAAGCGGAAGCAACAGCTTGAACGAAGCCCAGAGGAGATGATAAAACAGATCCCCCTCCAATCTTCCTCCGTTTATTCCCTTCCCAAGCTTCGTTAGTATTCGACGGAACGGCCCCGTCCCGATTTTCCCAAACACAACAGGAACAGATGCTCCCCGTCTCCGTATCGATCCCCCCCCCCCCCCCTTCGACTGTTTCCACGAAGAAAATTATCTTAACGGACTTTCAATGGATGCAAATCCCAGTTGAGGACGGATTCCACGGGGTTCCTGATTACAGGGCGGATGAAAGGGTCTCGGTAATGATTTGAAGGAAATGGGAGCCATCATCCCTGGATTTGTCAAGTTTTGATTGCAAAACTTTTGATCTCTCCCGCTTCTTTCCCCCCAATTTATTTCAAGCTGCAAATTGGAAGTCGAAGCAGGAAAGTCGTATGAGGAAAAATGAGAGAGAGAGAATATTTAAAAAAATCGAGATCCTGCTTCGCGGAGAGCGCAGGCAGCCGTGAGGAATCATGCAGACAACCGAGGAATGAGCGACGCATCCTGACACAACCCGACACATCCTGCTCCTCTCTTCCAGGAATCGCGAATTGCGATGCAGCCGCGAGGCAGTCTGGGAAGGCCGGTCGCTGTGTCAGTGTGTCGCCGTCGTCGCCGTCGCAATGAGAGGTGAGTCTTTTTTCGCTCGTCTGTCCGATTTGGGCGACTTTCGCGAGTATTTCATTGCTCGTTCGTTAAGCGATGCCTCTTTCGCGGTTAGGAATTCTTTCCTCTGTGGAGTGAGACAGTCGATATCGAGACAGCCGATATCGTCCAGATTCTGGCGAGATTGATAAGTCTTCGAATTTCAGTTACTTAATTACCGCATGCCCAATTTTTAAATCGAAGGCTCTCGATATCTCAAACTGGGTGGTTGAAAGGTAAATCCCTATTTTTTAAGTTGTAATAACTTTCGTACTTCTCGGACTGGAACAAAGGTTTTTTTTTGTGCCAAAAGAAAGAGAATTTCAATGAGGTTTTTGTGACCGCGGTATGATGTGCGGAAGTTGAAGGTTAGAGTCGATTTAAAATCTAGGTGTGAGATTATTAAGTTAAGAAAATTCAATTTATCAATCATGCCAGAGTCATGACGATATCGACTTTCTCATTATTTAATTTAGGTCTTTAGGTAGGTAATTTAGATTTCGCCCACGTAGAAGGAGTTGTGATGGCATTATATCTGCCCTTTGTCAAGCCAACACCGCCTGAACGTTAGCAGCGTGCCATCTCCCACCTTTGAGCACTGCGCACGTGCCACTTCAGGAATTTAGAACTATTTAGGATCTCAGGAACTATTTAGTTTTTCTCCATGCCATATGCCAAGTCCAGATCGAAAGCAAGGGCGACCAAATGCCCCAAGAGGGTGTAACGCAACAGGAAGTCCCGCGGCGATTCGGATTTGCTCGTGTTGCCCGTGTAGAGCTTCCTTAAAATCGGAAGGACAGTTGACCTTGGGAATCGCTACATCCCTCGAGGTCAACTGTTATGCCTGTTTCGACGAAGCGCTGATTCAACTTGTACTGTATAGGCCACACGAGCAAATCAGAATCTCTTCGCTACTTCCTGTTGCATTACACCCTCTCAAAACGTCCATCTGCATCCACCTGGCTGAACAACCGGGTGGATAGGGAGTGGATTTGGAAACAGGTGGACGTCCCACCCGGCGGAAAATCCACCGCGCACATGTACAGGGTGTTTCAAAAGTCCCGCAACCCTATATATAAACAAGTGCTGTTATATATTTAACTGGAATACATACAGATCAGCTATTGCATCAGGTATTGTGGGTCCCGTATTTTTTACATAAACTGTAAATGCTGAACGTTATCAACACATCAATCAGAAATGTATCGCTCGATTCTCAATTCGCTCAGTACTCAATTCAAGTTCCTCAAAAAAGAGCGTATAAGGGGCTTGCGCGACTTTTCATACACCCTGCATTTCGAGCTATGTGGATTTTCCCCCGGGTGGACATCGCTCCAACAGGTGGAAATACGCCAAGGGGACATCCACCTTGTTCCAAATCCGCATGGGAGGTGGACGTTTGGTAAGGGCAAATTCTTGGAGCATTCTGGTTGTCCCGTCCCTTTCTTCCTGCATTAGCCGTGGCATATCTCTGATGTTTTACGGAGACGGTATGACATGCACAGGGGAAACAAACTATTTTCTACCTATTGAAATCTGGGCTTCACATATGGCATGGAGGAAACATAAATAAACATTATTGCACAACGCTGAAACGGTTAGAAGGTTAGAGAGGGCACGCTATGTTCAGGCGGTGTTGGCTTGTTCAGCAAAGGACAGATATAATACCAGATATAACTTCTACTATATGGCGAGACCTACATTGCCTTGTAACGTTTGTTTTGGACGCTATCAGGCATCCGTTGCAATGATACTTGATTCACTTCCAGCCATCTTCTGTTACCTACTCTTCCTCGTCCATCTGTGGTGGGCCGTGGCCCGCGGATGCGACTCGGGCTGGAGCGAGTTCGAGAGCAATTGCTACTACTTCCCCGACACGACGGACACGTGGCTCGGGGGCAACGCGGACTGCATCCGGCGGGGGAGCTTCCTCTGCGACCCGTCCGAGGGGGGGCAGGTGCGGTACGTCGGGTACAACACGAGGAGGCCGGTGACCTATCTGGGAGTGCAGGTCAACGTTGGTGGGGGCGTCGTCAACTATAATGGCAACGGGGTCAATTATAATAATTTCCCACCGAATCGAAATTCCGGTGAGTCATTTTCGGTGATAATTTTCTTTTTTGATTGATCCCATTTTCGTACATGTACTCATTTTTTATTTTGCACATAAAAACTGTTATTAAAAAAAAAACTTATCAATGTATACGAGCAGGTATGATATTTTTGGCAATGGGAGAACATTACTTTTACTGTCGATGGGGGTAATAAAAGTTTTTTGCGTCGCAAATATTTGAGTCAATATTGACAAACAAAATCGACGTCATTGATATTGACAGTCAAGTGAATCTTGGTGCTTGTCGAATGCATGAAGTTGGGTGCACTCGGACCGAAATTATCTTCATCGGTGTCACACGACGCATCTTTTTACCCAGGATATTGTTACCAGTACCCGAACCAGTGGCGCTCGGACGGCCCCGACGTCGAGAAGTGCTACGTGTGCCAGACCCGCTACGACTCCACCATCGGCTGCCCCGGCTCCTACCGACAGTGGCGTTCCAAGTGCTACAACTGCTACCACAACCAGAGGCGGAACTTCTACGGGTCCCGCCACAGCTGCCAGGGTTGGTACTACAATAGCATCGCCCGGGCGGAGGTGCAGGACCCGACGATCGCCGCCCTCCAGGGCGATCTCGTTTCCATCGAGGACCAGGCCGAGATGGACTTCGTCTCTGATCTCATCTCAGGTCGGTCCTCGCCTCCGAAAGTATCTTTAAACTGGTAGATCCCCTTTTGAAGAAATTCTTGCCCACCAGGCGGAGTCCAGAACGGAACTCTCGACGTGACGGATTACGTAGACACGAATTTCTGGATGGGCCTGGAACTGAATACGACTCAGGCGGCGCTGATGTTGACCGAGGACCCACAAGCCTCCACGGTCGACGCCTGGCATTGGACCTCCCCCACCTACGAAACCAAGCAGGCTCGGACCACTTATAGCAACTGGTACCCCGACAGTGGCAACTACCGCGAGCCCAGCTATGGCACCTGCGGGTCCATCTATCCCAGCCGATGGAACACGTGCGGGTTCAACAGCGGTTACCGCTACGGTTACACCTGTCGCCGGTCGAGGAAACTCACCGTCAGCCATGCCTGGAACCTCCTTCGCGGTTACATCTGGCTCATGTACATTGGGTTCACCACTCTGTAGAGTTCATCAATCGCAAATTGTGCACATCACAACTTCATTGAAAAAAGAAACACCTTAGGATGAAAATTAACATGGGTTTTTAAGGGTAAACAATTCCTACCTCCTTCTCATGATGATATCTTCAGAATTTTCGTCGATTTCTGCTTTATCACGAGTAGTAATATATATGAAATTATATATGAAACTATTATATGAAATATATATGAAACTATTAAAACAAACTGGGCAGTGGGGTATCCCCAGCTGGAAAAGAGAAAATCGCCCGAAATCCTGAGCCCCATTCGAGACTGGGCTACACATGACCCTATGGCCCTCTGAATTCGTGTCAGCAAGAACGGAAATGAGGCAAGGTCATGGAGAATGTGTGAGACTAGAGCAAAGAAGGGCCAGACATCCTTGGGGCTCAGGATCTGTTCCGGCGAACGCATTCTGCTTTCCCTAACCTCCGCAACTTAGGATTTTTTTGGAAGTGTATGTTTGGGCTCTCACTTTGCACTGTTGAAATCTCTAATACCATTATATGGCACTTTTATTGGGGTTATCGTCGTCACCACTGCATCACGCTGAATTAGGGACTGCTAGGTTCACTTCTTTGCTCATAGTTACTGAATTACGGGATTGATTTTTTCATATTAATTTTCATTTCAACAGCACTAAGCGTTTGCACTATTCGGGTTCATTGGCACTAACAGGCTATGTCCCAAAGGCTGTAGACGGCCTTTGGATCGTAAAGGCATTCTTTAGCCTACTTTGACCTACTTTGACCTTCTTCAGCCTTCTTTGGCCTTCTTCAGTCTAGTTTGACCTTCGTCATCTCTCTTCGCACCAGATTCCCTTTTTTTTGGAGACTCGGTCATATGCACAATAAAGGTGTTGGTTGGAAGGCGTTGTGTTCGATTTTGCACGACATGGATCGACGGCGCTCGACACTGTCGGTGGACACGGAAAAGTGTCGACAGAGAAAGCCTGTTGCAATGCACTGAGTGAGAGGAATCAGATGGCCTGCGGGGACAGGCGCCATGAGAATTTTCCCTCGGAGGAAGATGACATTTTCCATTCATTTTCATTCTCCTCCAAGAATGAAAATGAATTTTAATGAATGAGTGAAAATGAGTTTTTTTTTCTTTCAATCGGAATTTAAAAAAGGAACAGACCACATCCATATCGTAATAGGAATCAGATGACGTGCATCCTTATTTATGCCGATATTGGAGCAATTGGCAAGGAAGTCCGGATGAAATCATCCATGTAAGATGAGGATCCTCCGTCAGCCGAACTGTTCTGGCACTTTGCCCTCTCTCGGCAGGCGATCGAGAGGGAAGCCCTTTAACCCTTTTATGAATCTCAACAGGGACTTCCACTCCACGGGACACCCATGCCACTTTACAGGACTCCCAGACCACTTTACAGGACTCCCAGACCACTTTACAGGACTCTCCCCACGCTGCAGGCGTCGATCTCCGGGTTTGAATTCTCTCTCTCCCTCCCGCCGTAAATAATTGAAAAGTAATTTTCCTTCCCATTCGAGCGGCTGAAACCGTTCCAGGCGCCGCCTGCGAGGCATCCCCATGACTTAAGATGACTTAAGATCCACACCTTCCCCGCTCAACTCCCCACGGAGGCCATTAAGCCCGCAAGATAGGCGTTGCCAGAGAGGTGATGGAGATCTTAGAGAGATGATGGACTCCATCTCAGAAAGATGATGGACCCCATCTGCTCCACTCTCCGAGGAAATAAATAGTGGGAGGCGTTCGAGTGAATTTTCATCCTTTCCCTGATCCGCCTAATCCGTAATACCCCGCCTGATCCGTGATTTCGGCGACAGATCACACCGATTTACCGGTTAAATTCGCATTCTCGGGATTCATTGATTTTGTTCCCCCTTTGACCGAGGGAATCATTTTTCACTCCATTCCAGCACGAATCAGCAGTACCCAAGTCACGTCGGGAATTCTAGAAATACCCGATCAAGTACCTCTTCGGGAAACCTGCCAGGGGAAAACGACGATAAATCTCCTCTTTCACCTCGTCACGCCGAGAGGCGTAGCGGGGCGCGTGCGTCACTTCCGGGACTCGGGCGTCCCCTTTGTCGGGGATTATATATATAGGCTTTCGGGAATATATATATATATATATATAGAGTAAGAGAAGTTATTTGGTGCTGAAATCGTCTTGAGGCATTAGGTACAGTTTAACTGTTTAATTCCATTCGCCGTAGCCCCTGGCAGTAGAAACTTTCTGGGTAGGGTTT